TCATTGCGGCCACAACCACCAAAGCGACGCGAGAAGAGGTACCAGTGAGCTGCAGGTGCTACAGGGTTAGTAGAAGAAAACGAAACAAACCCACTATCTTAACATCCTTGAATCTATGGGACATTGTAGGTTGTGTTTGTAAAAAAAGCAATTTCATTTTATCGAGACATAGCTGTAGCTCACTTCAAGAGGAGCGGTATAATTATAATCTCTTCCAGAGGAGTTTTTCTCTTCCGGTGCGTTATTCATACTTCCTCTATTAAGCGAATAACTTTTTTTTTAGAAAAATGGAAACAAAATGAGAGCTTTTTGGATAAATCTCTAATTATCTAAAAATTTCTATTGTAAGGTAATCAATGTCATCATAAGTTTTATAATAAGGTCAAGAACAATTACGAACCAAACAACAGTTAGAGTGCAACACAACACGAGACAATAGGATAAGCCTGGCCTGTAATGTGCAAAAAGAATTCCCGAAAAAATATAAACAACCAAAGTTCCCGTAATAAAGGAGGACCACCAAAGTTTGGTGAGTATTTTGCATACGCAAGTAAAAACCATTGAGTGAAAAATTGAATACAAAAAGGTCAAGGGATTTCATAATATTCAGTAATATAGTAGATATGAATGAAAATTCAACGTCAAAACAGCCCAAACAAGAGCTCCTCTTAAAGAGATTAAATATATTAAGTGTTCAAGTGAAACGAGATGAAGATGAGCAGCGTCGTTAATAATTTCCATCTGGGACATCAGAGGCGCCGCTGTCGCTTATCATCAACATGCCGGTGTCTGTGCGCTCGCCATTCACTAGGTTCAATGCTTGATTTAATGCGCTCCTCAACCTCGACTTGCTATTAACGGCGATAAACGGCAGCATAACCATCAAATCTGTTCACCTTAAATACCAATACCGTGTGTTTGATTTACAAACATACAATATGAACAAATGACTAGGAAGCACACCAGCATACGTCGGCTGGACCTGTTATCCTGATAAGTTATCCAATACTACAATCAAAACCTTCGCTAACTGCAGCAGATTATACCCCGATATTCCCAGCCGAGCAGCATCCGATATTCCCAGCCGAGCAGCACCAGATATTCCCAGCCGAGCAGCACCCGATATCCCCAGCCGAGCAGCACCCGATATCCCCAGCAGAGCAGCACCCAATACTCCCAGCAGAGCAGCACCCGATACTCCCAGCAGAGCAGCACCCGATACTCCCAGCAGAGCAGCACCCGATATCCCCAGCAGAGCAGCACCCGATATTCCCAGCCGAGCAGCACTCAATATCCCGTCGCGGCAGAGGGCCGGCAATTCATCATGAGCCGTACGCTGCGCTGATGCCTCATCCATAACATCAGGCGAGAGAGAGGAGGGTAAGGGAGGCAGTTGCTCCTGAATCAACGCAATCGCTACAAAGCCCTCATCATTTGACACCTGAGAGCTTATATTGGCCCACCGGCGGCCGCAACTGAATGAGACGTAACGCAGCCACCTCATGGCTGCACGCAGACGTTATTGTAAAGTTGGGTAGAATTTTTTTTACTAAGTGTGCTATCATAAAATCACTCGACAGTACTACAAATGAATGTGATTAGGTTGTAAAAGGCCAATAATATTCATATTCGCTGAGAAACAACCTCAATACTACGATATTTCGTCAATCCCAACACAACGAAAAATTAAGTGAACGATGATAATATGAGACCAGGAAAAAATTTGATATCTTGTAAAACTGAATGATAAATGAAATGAACACGAGACCATATTCCAACGGAAACGATCAAATTAAGTTAACCAAATACATTAAACAAGTCACTGAAAATGCTTGGAGTTTATTGAGAGAACATCAGGTTCTAGAGAACGTTAATGATAAATTTCAATGCACGAGTACCTATAAGAGTTAACTGCTATGTCCACCTAAAAATTTAAGTAACCTTTCGAGCGAGGATGAGAAAATGCGAAGCTCATTGGACAACATGAAAACAGCGGTAGGAGAAGCATTATTCCAGGACATCAAAACAAAGCGTTTTGAAAATGGCCACCTGTTGTAATATTTACAGCGTGTCGTCTCCTCCGGCATTTCGAAGGAGCAAAGGCTAATTTTTCAAGATCTTAAAAGTGAGAGGCGGAGCTGTAAATAGATTGCTTCATTATCCGTCCATCGTCGAACCCGTTCATCAAATTCGGTGTGTGAGACAAGCGCCAACTCTGAACAGGCAACCTAATCGGTAAACTTTAACACACCAGCTAGAAATGTAGCATAAGTAGCCGCGGAAATTATCGAGGTCCGAGCATTTCAACCCCCAGCAAAATTATAATTGTAGTATCAAAATTAAAATAACACTAGAGCGGTAAGAAAATCAGTGGCATTGGACATATTCAGCACGGAATTATATAACGGTAGGTAAAAATCTGAAATTGATGTAACTCTAGTAGCTATTTCAAACTATCGTCAGTTTTGAAAAGATCCGGTCAGAGGTATTGTTTTTAGATCTCCGGTGAACAAGTACAAGAATTGGCAACAGGCCACATCAGGCCTATTGTCCAGCGATCGACATCACAAGATATGAATGATATTAAATAAAAAAATTCATTTGGATACAAAACGGAATTTAATAGCATTATATCATGCTTCCATGTTATTGCCTATCATGAATTAACAAATGCCGCCAACAAATTTCACTGCCATTATTCCAAGTTTGATGGAGGAATTTATAGCGATCATCTGCAGTATCCCATCTGCACCTCATAGAACTAAGCTGCGCAAAGGACAAAATGCGTACACACAAGCGTCAAAGAGAATAACATCAAAGATACCTGAGAGAATACATGGAGAACTGAGACGAGGATGAAGCAAACGTCAAAGGGACAGAACATCACTATGCAATGAAATGTCCATGTACAGAGTTGGTTACCGTACATCGAACCCCCAGATGCAAATGCAACATCATGGAGGCTTGTGACACTAACATACAAAGCGCTCTGTTGCATATATGCGGCGGAAATGCGACCAGCGCTGCCTAGGCTTCGCTTACTTCCATTCACGCTTCGGTGTAAAAGAAAATGGAAACTATGTCATCAAGAGTGTCTCAAATGCACAAATTCACCGAAAACTATAGAATTATTACTAAAGAACTATCATTCACTAAAGGAGTATGTAAATACTCATTTCGGAGCATGTAAGTACGTTTTTAAAAACAACGGATTTCTAGTCCATCAACGTAGAATCAAACGATAGTTAAAAAAATTTTCGGTATCCAATAAGAACGAAGATCTTCAACGGCGGTCGATTTATTTTATGCGGGTATTCAGAGTCTTTACACATTGAGCATGAAACAATAAAATAAAACTTTATAAAAACATCTACTTCGTTCGGTAGGCATGAATTATTAAATGATTCATCCCGTCTTCAGTGTGCGGATGGTAATCAAGTGGCCTGGAGAAGGACCCTATATTTATCTAGTACGGCATGCTCAAAGACTACAGTTGCGTAATTCAAGAAGGACGAGCTAAACTTTAAATCAATGACTCGTGTAAAATCAGCATCAACCAGCTTGGCGGTCCAATATAATTACAATACTTAAAACTTACCTGAAATTAAATAAGGTGCGATCCTATGTTTGTGACTCGACTTGAAGTGAATTCAGAACGATTGAAATCAAATTTCACTCGAATTTTCTAATTAATGATGAATGATGTTCTTGATACAACTGGCTTTAATTAGTTAATTTCAAGTTAACATAGAAGGAAAAGTTTAAGGATGAGACACAATTCACTATGTGAAGTAAATACGAAACTAAAAAATGAAAACTGTGTCGACACATAGGAAATTGCCATTCGAGTTTCAACATAAAAAGTCTTTAACGTCGTATCAATTTAATGAGTAGAGAGTTTCTGGAGAGGGGAGAGCCGCGAAGAAGCGTCCACAGCAAGCATAGCAACTGGACGCCAATATTTAAGGGAGAACGGTATATAGTATCCAGGCAGCTCTTTTCTCGGCCTCGCTAGTCACTCCACACGAGAAATAATTTATCTCTGATCGGAAAAAGTTCTACCCGCAGCCGAATGAAAGCCATTGAAAACCTAAAAATAAAACAGTGGACGACTAGTAATTATTGATAAGGGAAACTTCTTGGTAATGGCATTAAATAATTGAAGTAAAATGTCATGTTACAGCATGGCTGCGAGGTCTCAAACATTATGCGCATAGTACGTATCTTAATTGAGTTGACTTTGTAAAGTAAGTGAAATGGAGACGCGTTAGCAGCAATTTCCTAGGAATGTGATATTATTCTGTGTAGAATTACGCATCCTAGCGGGACCAGCAAGCAGCGTCGCGGGTGCGATGTGAACGCGGGCAGAGGTGTCAAGGACGGCAATGGTTACGAATGGATGCAATTAAACAGGAACCAATTACCAGCGCCCGAGTGCGTGTGAGGAAGCAGCGACAAGAGTAGCGACAAGTGAAGGGACTAACGCTGCCCAACCGATAACTTGCTACTGAACATTACAAATTGCTCTCAACAACACATTGATTTTCATGAAGCTGAAAGCATTAAATGAAAACTATTTTCAGAACATTGCATAGATTGAAAAATAAGAAAAAGATTAATACAACACTACTTACACAGGTGTAACACAAATCAATCTTTAACAAACAAATTCAATCTTTGTAACAAACAAATTCAATCTTTAACAATTTGAGTTGAAATGATTTTAACCATAAATAAATTCTCATTTGCTCTCATCTTTGTTTACTGTTAACTGTCGTTGAGTTATAGAACACCTGAATGATTTTCAAGAAAACCTTCCAGAAAATCGAATAAAATAAAGTCGAAAGCAGTCTTCATCTAACGGCGGTCACCGATAGCGATAAGCACCAATTCCCACTCGCACGCAGACAGAAATTTTAGATCATATTCCAAATGAAACCTGTGAATCTATCTGATTCTTAAAAATTGATAATAATAAAGATGCTTATTCCTTGACTCACCTTGACAGTGGCGACATGTCGTCCATGGTCGCGTCGGTGGCCAAGAGACCCCGTGGACGCCTGCGTGTTGTCCGCGTCGAGGTCTGCCGAGTTGCTGGAAGCCTCGGCCTCACTAAGCCAGCCGAAGAACTTCTCCAAGGCTTTGTCGAAGTTGCTGGTCGAGTTCATGGCGCCGTGTAGGGCTTTGCCGCGCATCGCGAGGCTGAAACACAAGTCGTAATTTATATAAGTACGTTGCAGGATATTAATAATCTGGATATAAAACCATTAAACAGCCATGCTGAAAGTTTTTAAACTTTTCAGTGGCGCTGCTCGTGTCTGAGCGCAGTAAAATTATTCTATCATTAATGACGTGACGGTAAACATAGTGCATCTATAAGAGGTCAGCAAAGAAAAAGATACAGTTTAATTGCATTATTAATTGGCAGGCGGAAATAAAAACAATAACTGCAAAATAGTTCTTAGGTGACAATTTTGGACGAATTTATGTTAACATCATGAATAGACAAATAAATCGAATAAATCATAAAATACAATATAAAATACATGAAGCCTCGAAATTAGTAGAGTTGACATAAAGGATCAATTTAAGCAGAAACATCATAAGAACAAAAGAGGCAATTTCATTGAACGCTAAGATTGATGCATTGAATCTACAAAGAAAATCCCACACACCGCCAATAAAGCCAAGTTATTGAACGTGAACATAATTTTCACCATCAACAAGGGCAAGTTGCAAGCCAACCGACCTATTGGTCACCGTCTACCACAATGTTGAAGTCATTTTTAAAGCCTTTCATAGCAGAGAGAATAGAACGCGATGACACCAGCCACTGGAAATTCGCTGGTAAGCCTGAATGAGGCAGAGCACCATTAGCCTACAGTTAGTAAAAACATTGAACGCGCTGAATTTGGCCTCCAATTATTTGCTCATAAGTCTGAATGAAGGAAGCACTACACTCTTGAATTACAAGAGGCAAGAATTACAACATTCTTACATTCATAATCATTCATTACTACATATTTGGGCTATTTCGCTTGTCTCACGCTATAGCCTTGAATCCAAGTAGGATTTAACAACTTTTCATCTTAGAAGTATAATATACATAAGTTTCTTCAAATTTTCTCTCTCAGATTACTTTTCATTTTAACGGATTTATCGCTGGCTGATGATGCGTCCCAAGTCAGCGACGGTTAGATCAGACAGTGCAAATCTGAATAAAGACTTTTCAACTGTCCCTGTGCAAAGTTACAGAATCAAACTAGAACGAGCGACCGGACTACAGTGTGCAATTGAGAACAGAGAACATTGAACGCGCTGATGTCTACCACATATAATTCACTTGTAGGTCTCAATGAGGCATGACTCACTTTGCCTGGAGGTTATTAAATCTTGCGTTAAGTGCGTCGCCGCGACGTCGCAGGTGACGCGTGTCGTCGTGCTGGTAGATCGTAATGAGACGCTGCGTCTGCTGGTTCAGTAGCTCCATCTGGTGCTTGTATTGCTGCACCTCCGCCTGCTGACCCTGCAGCCAAACAAAACAAATATTTTCTCGAGTATTGTTAGGTATTCACATTATTACTGAATGTTATTAAAAATCATATCGAGACATCGAGAGGCGCTTCCTTCCATCATATATTCTATCAACCAGTAAGAAAGTGACGATATTTGACTTCAACAATTTCGATTCACTATTCGTACTTGATTCGCTACTACTAGGTAATAGTTCAGCTTCATTTGACGTAAATATTTTCACATCAATATTTTTACGTAAACAAAATAATTGTAATACATCAATATCTCTACGCAAACAAAACAATTGTCACTATTATGCGTCGAATAAAAAAAATTAAATTCTGTGCATAGTATCATCAGAAATTCATAAGATGTTCACCAATGTTCATATACATCCAGAGTTGAAACCTCATGCTAACAATTCAATTAATTCAACAAATTTACCTGCATGCACAGGCCAAACAAAATATATTTAATTCACCTTCTGATCTCTGATCTGTTGGTCGAGCATGTGAGGCGCGAGACCGACGGTCATAGAGGACCGTTCAAGTCTGTGTTCCATCCTGGTGAGCCAAGCCTCGACCTCGGCTCGCTTCGTCTCGAGCTTGTGAGAGTCGGAGAGCATCGCGTCTAGCTGAGTCTTGCGAGCTAGCACAGCGCTGCTCGTCTCGTCCCAATGCTCACGTAGCTTTGCAACTGAAACACAATATAAGTTTGCTATAAAACAGCAGAAGACCAATGTGTGGCAGTATGAATGTATGAATGACTGTATCCTTTTGCAATGAAAAAGATACATTAATATGCGTGGCAATGGAGCGCATTTGTTCAAGAAGGAGAACCAGCTGACGACATCTACCTCAAGATATTTTCGGCGAGAGAGATAAAGAAAACTTTAATCGTAACCACGAAAAGCTGTCGATGTGTCTACAATTATCATATTTCCTTATTCAAACTTGTAATTTACAGGCCCGTTGTGAGGCGTTGTCATGTACAAATATCCATGCACGACCTGTGGCTCCCAATCGTGTACCTGTTACACAATTAATATACATATGATAGCCTCCCTGGAGGTATTCGAAATGTTTATTGCCTAAGAAAAGGCAAACTGGCAACGGTTTTCAACTGTTGAGACACTGCACTTATGATCTCATCAGTCTGATCTCGCCCCATTAGCGTATTATTAAATACAAACGTTATGTCTAATTATTAGTGCATTAATTTTTAATAAAATTACACTACATATCAAAGCCAATTATGTAGCATAGGTAGGGGGGCGGCGACAGTACACGTACGGGAACTCATATTGCTACTTATTAATTACAAGATCACACATAGCAATTATATATACAATAGCATCTCTCAAAATTACATTTTCTAACGCTCTCTGACAGAAAATGAGAACTTCTAGGAGAAGCTGAAGCAATATGCCGCTCGGCATTGAAGGACTGCGACTGGACTGTACACTAACACTACAGTGTACAGAGTACAATACCGTCAGTACGTAGGCAGAAAGGAATCTTACTACAATAAAAACAGCAGCTTAACTAAATGTGTGCGTGCAAAAAAATATACGAACTTCATTTAATTAAGTATGACAGAAATATACGTAGATATCTCGAGCACAGTGGCCTTGGCCTTGGGCCTACAGCAGCCTATCATATGGAATTAATTAGAGCTGCGATTGAAGAACGAAAATCTCGGCCTAGAGTTTCTTTTGATGAGTTCAGATTTACCAAAGATTAATTCTACTTAATTTTAAATTTAAACTTACTCTACTTAATTTTTTATTAAATTAATTTTTTAATAATCGCACTATTCCTTTACTTTTTGGCGACTTGTCTGAATAGCAGCGGAAGTCTTCTGATAAAAAGTTATTTTAAACAAAAATGGATACATTTAGCCGTAAAAATATTTCATTTTCTGTCCATTATTCGCCTAAAATAGCATTATCAGTTGAAATAGACAGAAACTCACTCAATTGCCCATGCTCATTAGAAAACAACCACGTTACCAGCTCTATTTTCAAGCCAAAATTAATCAAATTTGCGCACTAAACAATACTGAAGGATGTTAGAATGATTTGACCAAACAGAAGGGTATAATTCAGATATATTACTTAGAAACTCGTTAATAACAACAGTTGCAACAAATAAGAAAACCTAAAATGAGTCAATGCAGTTCATCAATTGTTTTTCATTTTGAATACAACAAGGCATATGTAGCGATCCGCGAGATATTGCGAGATAAGTAGCGGGCTAATCAGACTAGGTGAGCTAGCGTAGCAGGTTCAGCAGGCAGGTTAATTCGGCTAACTATAGGTACTATCAAAACTCTTACTCGTAGCAGCTTAGAAGTACACGAAGCGGCTGATTAGATTAGCGTCTGTGATTGGAGGGTTTAGCTTGAAAAGTCGACTGTGATAAGCAGAAAAAGACGAAGTCGCAACTATTTTTGATATAACTTCTACTATTGACCGAGGATATTACGTAACTTCGAGGGTATGTTTTATGCTCGACTTGACAAATACGCATCTTAGCGATTCGAAAAATTTTGGGTCAACGCGCTTCTACCCAGAAAAAGAGACGAAACATAAATTTCGATTCGCAAACCTCACGCCTTTTTAGCGCATTTTCTCATTTACGGAAAAAATGCACTATTGTGCTCGCCATGTCCGTCTGTCTGTCCGTCCGTCTGTCCGTCCGTCCGTGACCTCAAGTTTTCGTCGACGAGAAAATGCGCGCTCTGTCACTCACTGCAGTGAGTACTGAGTTCTATTTTTTCTCATCTTTCGCGCTTGGCCACTCAAAACTTTTAGTGAAGAGCGGAGCAGCGATTGAATTCGCGAGTAAAACTAATAGAGAATCTGGCGGATGATCGATGAGACGCACCGTCTAAATTAAAGCCGTGATAGAACAGCAGCGACGCCGAAAACTTGAAGCACACAAGCTCCATTATAGGATCAAGTTCGGCGATATTGACACAGCAGAATTACTTTAACATTTGAGAGTTTAGACGGGCCAGCGTTACATCAAGGTGGTCGCTCTACGCGATCATGATAGAGAATGATCTCTAGGGCAGTAAGTACTCGGTACTTATAAGGATTTCCAAGCAGAGCGTCACAATAAATGTTACAGTAGTACATTTCATCACAGAATCGATCTTCGAAGTACAATGGCGCACTGAGAGAAATGAGTGAAAATTTGTCTAAATAGTGATGCAGTTTAGCCTTTGTTTATGTTATCCTGATCTAGTGGGGCCCGGCAAAAAGACGTATCATTGCTAAATCCACTCCATGCTGGCGCTGCATGTAAGAAAGTGTGTCATTATTTGAACAATTCGACCCTTTCATATTTCTCAGTTGTACGGAAAGTATGGATGAAATAGAATAAATAAAATCGTATCGTGCTGTTAAATAGTGTTATAATTTACAGCCCGCATCATCATGAACAATTATGATGGTCGTTCATTGCTAGCTAGTGGATCAGTCCTATAGAACAACTCGAATAACACAAGCAGCAGTCCTATGCGCACACCAAGATCTTCGGAGCAGTTCGATTTCCAATCAAAACAAAGAGAGTTCATTTATTTTGTAAGTTGAAAAAGTAATTTCGTTTTCCACAAGTTTCACAGAAGCACACAGAACTACGATTAAAATTAGTGAACTACATACTCGGGACTTGCAAATTGTTTACACTAGAGTTGAACAGGTTCGTAAGTTATAACTACGCATAGGTGTTTTTCTATGCAATTAGTAAGTTGGATTACGAGTCAGTAGAATTTTAAGTCAATATATAAAGTTATAGCTACAGATGTTAACAAACGGGGAACAAGAAATGCAGCTCCACGCGTATACCTTTGAAACAAGTTCGCAAATGGTCGAACAGACGCGCCTGAGATGGGAATTGGTAGATGGCAGCTTCGTTTGTTGTAGCTGAAAAAAATTACGAAGGACATACAAATTTTAATGGTGATCGAACATGAATTTTCATCCTGGTTTGTCATGCGTAATTTCAGATAATTATTTACTGATGCCAAATTAAATAAGCTTAACAAAAGAAAAGGTTAAAGCAAAAGTATTTAAATTATTTATTCCCTAATTCATTGTACTTGAAATATTTAATGAAAAGTTCTCTGATAAATATGACTGGAATAGTAAATTGGTAAATACTTATTATTACAGAAAGGTACGGAATTTTGTGGCAGAAAATCTTTATCATCATAATGGCAAATGACATCATCGATTAATCGATCAGATGATGCATCGTATTCGGCAATGCAGCGGCGAACTCGGGCAAGGCTTCAAAGAACTGCCCATGGTCCAGGCTAAATTGAATCGCTTGCAGCTTAGTAGCGATCCTTTGAGTGACACCAGTTTCATTGCCGCACGACTAGCAGCTATAATGACACGAGCTCAGTAACGGTGGTTTTGCACAGCTAATAAAGAATGAAGGCTCCAAGTTGAGGTAATCCTTGAGTTCTCATGAACTTGCGAGTGCAGCAATTATTGAACAGGTTGAGCTAACATAATGACTGTCGATGAATACTGCAAAGTATCAGGTCGGCCCTGATATCAAGTTCCGTTCGAACGAGAACACGTGCTGTCACATGAAGAACACGTGATATATTAGTGGTATGCCTTACTTTCATTTATCAGTCCTTACTTCCGTCAGACAATTGACAAACTAAAAACGTTTATGAAAAGTTTTTAATGTTCGTTGAAGATGAGATAAATTTAAAAGCTCGAATCAATTCGTATACAATGTAGGGGCAGCCGAGCTGTTAACTGCCACATGATTATGCTTCGATAAGATCGATCAAAGGCTGCCAGGGCTTGAGATAGGCGAGTAGTGCAGGAATTAAGTGATAAAATAAAAAATTTTCCTTATTTATTTTATCACTTAATAATTAATAATTTAATTATTATCAAAAATATATTTCCAGCATAAATTCAACTAGAGCTTGAAAAATATAGTTTTTGTGTTTCAAACTTGACAATAAGTCCCATTCACTGAAGAATTATAAATTAACAGATGAGCGAAATTTTTCGCAAATGGAAATATTCGGTCACTTCTAGGAAGTTTTTGAAAAGTATACTCTTGCGTATTACAATTTCAATTTAATCATATCATTTTCTACCGGAAGGCTTAATTAATTTATGAAAACCGTAAATCAAAATTAAATTAACTGCATCGTTGTCACGGAATTATGTCATTCTTTCCGGATAATGTGTAAACTATAACACAAAAATGACGGGGAATGACATAACATTAATCTTGTACCAAATCAACTGAACAAAATGCCAAACTTCAAAACTCTAAAATTCCGAACAGCTTCATCCACTTGAAGAGCAGATAACGCAGATACATTTCCAAATAAACCCAGGCCAAATGCAACAAAAACGAAACGTTCATTAAGGTTTGGGGAATATAAAACTAAGAGCAATAGAAGAGATAGAAGCATAATTTTTCTCAAGTTATAACTGTACACTCAAAGTGGCGCCAACATAAAAAAAATAAAATTGAAACTGGTTAAATCGTACTATCGTATTTCGGTGAAAAAAAATTCCAAGAACAGAACGAACTGCAGTCCAGTAATAGTAGTCAATACTAGCATCGAGTGTGACAAGAGCCTGGCAGTCCTCGGTTATTGTGAAAGCTGCATGTCTCTGACATTTGAGCATTGGAAATCTTCAATTAGAAAGCATAGTATCGACGTTGTTCAGGTGAATTGTCAACTTGAACTGGGTCATGGAACGAAGCCCGGATATCGCCAATAATTTTCCTTTATTCACTGAAAAATTTATCACAGCGACATAACACAAAATTGTCATCGCATGCTTCTTGATTGTTGAGAGAATATTACATGTATACTTATGTTGTAAACCTTACATACTTATGTTGTGTATCTTACACACTTATAACTGTACCAAGGCCATGATAAAAATATCTATAATGACATGCTACAGCAATCAATGCTCCAATTTACGAACATCAGCATAAACAACTCACCAAGCATCTAAATCGCCGTTGATTTAATTGTTGTTTCGTAGAATAAACTCTAATTAAACGGTGTTTAAACGTCATTTGCCTGGTGGGAAGTAGAGTGGGTATGTTGGTTTACCAACTTTGACAATATAATCGCTTCGACCTTCACTTTTCACTTTCCCATATAGACTTCCATTGCAGATTGAGAGTCCCCTCTCGTGCTGCAATTCTTTCAGACCTAATGGAACTCTAGATCCAAAGTTTTGCCAACTCATCGACTTCATCTAAGAAGCAACGTATCAACGCACAAATAACACGATGGAAGAATATGGTTCGATACATTCAAATACTCATTTACGTACAAATCAGAGACTGATGATGGTTTAAGTAGCGGTAGAGGATTCAGTAAATGAATCACTGTGCTCAGATGAATCTATTCAATTTCAAACTTCCGAGAAATTTCAGTTCATAAAGAAACGATTTCCTGCTTATATAGAAGCAAGACCATACTAAATCTACCCTAACAAACAGTTTTTCGTTCTCAATCCCTAAGTTTATTCCACATTTGAATAAATAAAAGACCTAAAGAATTGCTTTCATTTTCACAGCCCATTGAGCTCCAGATAAAAGCTTACAGGCCTGGACAGCCATAAGACAAAGCTTCAGAGACCGGCTGGAAAGGATCCATGTTGGTCCTAAGCAAAAAGTAGCGGTGCTGAGGCTTTGAATTTCCGAGGGAAAAGAAATATATATTTTTTGCAGCTGCTGCAATGAAATGAGTAGGCTTTAGCTTTAGACATTCACAAGATTCAGGTCCACATTCACCTGATAGACAAGTAAGATTTATGTAAATAGATATCTTCCGTGTCTTGTGAAGGTAAAAACAAACAGCACCTCGATCTTAGACGAGAATGAGCAAGTGTTTGCATAAGGAAGATCTATCAATACTAGCAAAAAGAGAATCTGTTCAGCGACCGTCTTGCTGAAATTGCTGCGTACAGGAAATAGATGCAGAAGTGGGCACTGTCCAGACGTGGGCATCCTCTGTAGAAGTGGGCACTGTTCAGAAGTGGGCATTGACCAATCGTACTTGATTTTGTACATACGAGAAATCAAGATAGATAAGAACGGACAGAACAGCGAAGAAGATAATAATGTCAATTAGATGCACATGAAGCGAAGAAGAATCAATCGATTAATAAATAAAAGTACATAATTTGAAGAACATTCAGGAAAATTTTTTGTCGAAAATAACATATCTCCCCGGATAATGTAATTTAATCTAAACGCCGGTTCAAAAAAAGTGTTGCAAAACATGTCAGAAAGCATTTTAAAATGACGAAAAATAAAATCGCAAATTTGAGTTTCAAATTTTGAAAACAAATTTTAATAGAGTTTTTAAATATATTTCAATTGAAGGTTCTATTTTTAGGAAAGAAATTATGACCTCGCTTCTGAAATAGAATCTCTAGTGCAAGAAAGTTTTAAAAAATTCAAGATTAATGCCCTCGATCAAAAATGACGCGCGGTCAGATTTATCCCGGGAATGTTGTGATGCGTTGTCATAATGGCGAGGAAATTACATGAGCGACACGCAAGGACACGGAAATGAAGAAATAGGCTTGAAGATTGACGTCCATTTAAGCCTTTTAAAAGCCGGCCAGGCCGTCACAAACCCTTTTATGGTAGGAATCCGCTAACATGCGTTAAATATAGGAGTTTTAAGTTATATTCTTAGGAAATGAACAAGGTGCGATGCCACAACGTGAAGCAAAAACTTGCATTACGAAAGGAAACACTGATAGAAAAATATACATCACAACAAAAATTAAAAAAAATGACACTGCCCCAGTAGGGTGAGGAGGCGACCAATACAAAAAAAAAATCTGACCCAACAACACATGAGCTATCTCAGGATGCTGGCTTATGTGATTGTAAACGGTGAGGCTATTACCTCGCGCAAAAATAGCATCCATAATCCACATTATAATGGATAGATCGGGAGGGTGGATTAAATCATGACAACAAACTGTGTCGTGGTTGAAAATTGGACTGCAAGTGAAGAATAGCTGCAGTGAAAAATGTTCACACGCTGTATGATTTCAATTGCTAGATGCGGACTAAATACTAACGAACGTAATGCAATTCAAGATAAAGCAAGGGTAGCGATTTATTCACGCAATAAGAGATTATTTCGTCGAAAATATAAAGAGTTGAGCTCAAAAATACAAACAAATTATCTGAATCACCGTTAGAAAAAAATTCGCCAATGTACAATTTAATGCGCTGACATTGCAACTTATTATATTGAATAAATAGACTTAAACCCCATTGATTGAACATATTACCTGGAGTCAGGCATTTATTCCACGTAGACTAGAACATAGACGAGACCCGCAGCCGCGCACCGCAACTTTAACGGACGGGCTGTCGTCTCCGGAAACTCGCAGCACAAGCACATCTGCAGCTCATATGTTCCTGTGGCTATACTTTCAAAACTGGCTAAGTGAACGTATAAGTACTTACGCTCTATTTTCTTGTCTTTGATTGGCGGATTTTGCTTGAAGTACTTACGCTCTATTTTCTTGTCTACGATTGGTTGATTTTGCTTGAAGTACTTACGCTTTATTTTCTTGTCTTTGATTGGTGGATTTTGCTTGAAAGGCCGTCAATGACTGGCTGATGAACTAACGATCTCTTAACTTTTTTGAAAGTATGGCCCCTGCAGCGCTAAAAGCGTCGCAGAGAAGAGCAGATTCTTACCCTAACTTTGTCAAGTACGTGGAACGGTACCGAAAAACGTATTCTATAAAACTCTTTGTGACGTAAACTTCAGTTTTCGTAATTATCCTCACACAAGAAACGCAAACTGTCGCTGATCCAGGAGAAACGGAAATAGTAAAACGCATCGTTTACATTCATATGACTCCATAAAGATTATTAAATT